GAGGAAAAAAAGGAAAAAAAAAGAACTAAGGAGAGGGGGAAAGGATGGATGTAAGAGGGGGAGCGAGGGGAGTCGAGGGGTCTCGTGGAATATGTACGCCCCGTCTTCCCCTTGTCCTCGGTGACCTGCCTGCGCTTCGGTGACAGACAGGAGGAGACAGGAGGAGACAGGAGGAGACAGGAGGAGACAGGAGGAGACAGGAGGAGACAGGAGGAGACAGGACGAGACAGGAGGAGACAGGAGGAGACAGATGTACAGATGTAGGCAACAGGTAATTAACATACCAATCCTCCTGTCTTTTCGAGCCTGTCGAGAAAAGTGGCGGAAAGTACAAGCATTTCTTGGCGCTGTTGGTGCTTGCAATTCTGGGGTAGGACACCTTGCACGCGACAGCGGCTGCGGGCGACAAAAGAGGGGTTCGGCTGTAATACTCCAGAGCAGACGATGAGATTGGTGCTGTGCCCCGTTGAGACAGAGTGAGCTGGTGTGGTAGTGGAGGTACCAGGTAAGGGTAGACGACAGTAGACGACAGTAGACAGAAAGAGACCCCTGGTTTGTGCAGTAGTTCATGTTAAGTTGACGCAAGGCCGACGTTTAGGGCTCCTTTGGAGTGGTGGTGTCACTGGTGTGTGGCAGCGGCATGGGGAAGGCGTCGCATGGATTGGTGCGCGGTGCCGGTTGAGCGGGCGCAACCTGCATAGCAAGGGCAGGAGAGCAGGAGAGCAGGAGAAGCGGAAAAGAGAATTTGCTGCGGTGCGAGAAACCAACAGGCCGACATGGGCAGACGACCGTTTGGACGCCCGCAACGGGCTTGAGCTCCGCGGAGCTATGGTATGTCTACGAAGGTAATCACTTCGTACGTTGTACGTACGGGTACTGGGCTAGATGCGCGGACTCCTGAGGTTGCTTTTCATACACATGGCATGTTGCACAGATGCTTATGCTTATTCGGCCTGTTCGGAGGGTCTTCAAGAATAAAGTGCTAGTGCGTTGGATGTGGTGTGGAGTACCGTTGTACGGATAATCACTCCTGCTCCGCGAACTTTCTGTTTTAGGCACTTCGCATTGTGGAGCAACTAAGAGGAAGGGTCCCAGAAAGGCTCAGCGACGCCGGCTGTTTTGTCTTCTGCGACGTCTATCCGTACACGTACCATAATGGGCTAGGGATACTGGGTTCAGATTGAGCGCTCGAGTTGAGCTTTTGGGGGATGGCATGCCAAATGCCTCACGCCATTGAAATGCTAGCAACTCACACTCACAAGGCTGGCCGAGGATGAAGCCTCCACAACTCACACGCCGCACTCTGTACACTATTATGCAGGAGCGGATAGCTTCGCAAGGCTCCAGTGGAAAAATCCGGACTGCTTACTAAGGTACCTAGGTGTAATTAGCTAGTACCGTGTAGCCCCAGTGCACTGTCCAGAACTTTACGAATACTTTCCTGTAGCTGCAGTAGTGTACATGTATAACGTACGTGCGTTGGTTGTACTGCCGTGTATCCATATTCGCTGTTTGCGGACCGAAGTTATATTTGGGTAAGGTATAAGAGTGAACACAAATTTATTCACTTGAACATTACACGTGTCGTGTACTTGAACATGATTTCCACCGTTTCGATTCTGTATTTTGCACCCACTGTACCCTGTTTCCGCGATGGACGCGTGGATGTTAATGCCAGATAAGAACAAGATCGGCGGAGAAACATGAACAAGGAGATTACTTACCCTGTTCGCGACGCGTCATTGGACAGTTGAGCCCAGGCCCATCCATCATTTTCATGCCAGTGCTCCACCAGACCGCAGGTTTCTTTTGATTAAGCTTCTTTTTATCCGTACATCGATCGTAGTGTACTTTCCCTTCCCTTCCCCCCACGTCTTGTGGAAAGTGAAAGCTTCCTTCCATAGCTCCGCGGAAGCTTATTATCGACACCGCGCTCCCATCCACCACTCTCGGAAAAGAAGAAAAATCTCCCCAAAAAACGCACCCCACCATCTTTCCTTCTCGACTTCACGAGCAGTCATGTCCAGCGGATGATCTAATCTCTAATAATTCTTCACGAGCCAAAGGACGAGGAGGAAGCAAAAAAAGAAGGGAAAGAGAAAAAAAGGGGAACGACGGCCGCACTTTTACCGATTTACCGCCGTCCTCAATTCTATCCGGCTACTGCCAAACACGTTATACTAATCTGTACCAACCCAACACGCATCGCACCATCTTCAAGTGAGTGTCACGCCGGACTACGCCAGCCTCTCGTGGACTTGCAGGCGAATGAGCGAAGGCTTTCTAAGAAAGTCTTGCCATAACGTTGTGCCGCTTCCAATTTCGGGAACCAGAGAAGCCTCGCCGGAAGAGGAACAGGCATTACGTCGCGCACTACAGATACCTGTACCACTACGGTACACACTACACACTAATTACACACTACAGCAAACCAAACGATCGCGATCACGACTAGACCACGGCCGAGCGACCGACGCCGTCAACGTTTTTCCCCCGTTCACTCGTTCAAGATATCGGTCACAATTTCCCGCATACTACTGCAGCTCGATGGGCTTGATTATGCTTTTCCTTCGTCTCGTCTAGCCTTTTGTTCCTTGCGCTTAAACCCGGCCACCCACCTCGCCTACCTACTCCGTATTCCACATTGGCGCACCAACAAGCAAGCAGGTGGCTGTCATAGCTGCGCAACACCTAATCATCGAGCGTCTTCTCCTCGTCATCCTTCTGTCCTCGTTGCAAAGCAATTGAAGATATAGGAGAGGCTGTCGCCTCGCAGAGATCCATCCTACGCCGGCCACACGGTCCAACCGCACGGTCCAACCACACACACACACACGCACACACCACACCACGCCATGCGCCCTCCGCTCATCGCTTCTGCGCTCTTATGCGCTAGAAGTGTCGCCTCTCTCACTACCGTTGGAGCAGCTGGTAGCGGCTCACCCCCAGGACCCCAACCAGGGCAGACGATCTTCGAAACAGGTGTCACGTGTCGATTGAAACCCGGCCAACTGGGGCCGGGGCTTTCTCCTTGTTCGCCGATGACCGACCTCGACGATGCGATGGGCCTGCCCCTGGAACTCTCAGGCGAACCACCTGCGATCTTCGCTGAGATGTACAATCTCGACGCCGCGGCGACGTATCTAGAGCTCGGCTCCAATGTCGTCCCTTTCTTGGCCTTTTACGAAAATGCAGCTATTTGCAACGTCTTTGCCTTGGATGCGGTCGAGGCGGAAGCCATTCCTGTGCGTCTCTTTCTTCCTCTCGTCTTTCCTTATTTCCTTTCCTTCTTCTCTCTCGTCCTTGAAAACTTTCGCTCCCAATCATTATGCTGATCTAAAAGCTACAGACCGCGAATTACTGTAATCAGACGCAGCTGGATGACTGCGTCAAAGTCACCCTCGTTTGCGGCAAGCCAGATACCTCCTTGGCACCTCCGCACCCGCACCCGCACCCGCACCCGCACCCGCATCCCCAGGTCATAGCGGACCCGGTCGCACGGCGCCCCCGCGAGACCTTGGCACCGGCGATTCAGCTGGTCGCAGCACCGGACGCGAAAGCTCGGGGGCCAGGCAGCTTCTCTCATCGCGCGGTGCTCGTCGGCAACTCTTCGCCCGACGCCGAACTCCAGGCGGAAATCGAAGATCTCCTTCACGATCAGGAACCCAGCAGCGTCCCACTCGCAGCTTCGAGGCCTGTGAAGCGTACGAGTACCGTCCGCGTTGCAGAAAACAAGACGGCGACACATCCGAGCAAGAAGCCTTCCGGGGCTTGGCCGTCCGCTTCTGGGAGGAAGCACATCGCTTGCATGGCTGGCGGGTTGGGCGTCGTTCTCCTCATCTTTGTCATCTGGTTGTGAATGTCCAGTCCGTGTCAGGCGAAGGGGACGAGATTGCTTAGAGCACCTCCTTTTTTTTCTCTCTCTTCATTTCATGTTCTCTCCTTCATTTTGATACCCCTTGTGTTCGTTCTTGTCTTGATTGAGAATAGGACATGTATTCCCAAGAGGACGGGGAAAGGGAGCGGCAAGAGTATGGGGCGTTTTTTGACTCTGCATGGCGGCTCATGCATGGAATACCTGGGAGCATTCACTTGCTCAGCACACGAAATTGGCGTTTAGGTTGAACAAATTTTGGCGGCGGGGCAAAAGGAGGCTGTCACTGTGTAATTCGGTGGTACGGCTTCGCTACCACGACGACCACCCCCTTGGGCTAGAAGCCTCGGGGAACAAGGGCGGTTTAATCTTGTATTATTGAGATGAAGAGAACCATCGGGAGATTGGGAGCTCGAGAGCAGGCTCGAATTGAGCTCAGGGGGTAATGTGTATAAGCGGATGTGCCACATTAGTCTCTACCTAGATGAGTGAGAGCTTTGAGGAGCTGCGAGACTTGGAAAAGTCCGCAAGTCCTTGCAGCTACCTATCTTAAGGTATCTTATATCTTAGTGAGATGAAATCAGTCATTGGTCCCGTGAGAAATAAGTTCCATGTCTTGATATCGAAGGTTCCCCTGTATTCCTTACCCGTACACCAGAGGGTCCCCCCCCCACCCCGAGTATCGTACAGAGTACACGAGGACACATACCTTATATGCCTTCTATACATGTCTTCGTCCCTGAATCGTGACTTGTGACTTCAACCTTGCTCCATGTGGCTGAGGCGGTTGAGGCGAGGTGTCATACTGTACCTAAGGTAGCCTCATAAAACCTTGGTGGTTTAAGTTGCAAGAAAATGATTCGAGATGGAGCGAGGAAGCCGTAACTCTATTGCTGCAGCCTTCTCAGCCTTTCCACCTGGGCGCCCTGCGGTAACTTGTTGGTTTCATCCGCACCTCGAGTAGAGCGTGCTCCGGACTGACATCTGCCTTCTCTCATCGATCTCTATTCCCATTCCCCTTGAAACCGTCTTCATAATCGGACAACACGACCGCCGCAAAGCTCAACCCTTCTGCTTACATGCATCCGTACCATCATTGACATACCGTCATCGGGAGAAAAGAGAAAAAAGAAAAGAGAAAAAAGAAAAGAGAAAAAAGAAAAGAGAAAAGAGAAAATACCCGTCTCGCCAGCTTTCCCCATGAATACACCGCACCCACCCAAGACGGTGCGTTTCAACACCAAGAAACACATACCCACACCCGAGATGCCCAGATCACCACCACAGAACCCGCTGCCGCCACCCAAGCCTGCCCTCAAGCGCAGCATCTCGGGTTCAGCGCGGAGATTCACATTCAACGTATTCGACCGAGACGCCGAGCCGTCGGGACGTCAGCACAGCATCCGCACCTTGTCCACGGGCCGGAACCGGACCCCTCACGAGGGATCCCCCCTGCTGCGGTCGATTATAATGACGGCGCTGTGCTTTATTTGCGTGGGCCTGGTCATTGTCAGTATCATCGCCTGTGTCGACTGGGCGCTGCGGGGGGCGGGTAAGCAGGGGATCCTGCCGCGTTTCGCTTGGGGCTGATGACGATGGTGGCTGGACCGGAGCGGGAGCGGGAGCGGGACATCAGCCACCGTCGGACGGTCGGTCCATGGGGAGGGGTAAAAGGGAAGAAAAAAGAAAGAAAGAAAAAGGGGAAAAGGGAAAAGGGAAAAGGAACCTGGCCAAAGGTGTCACGATACGATGCCTTGGAAACATTCGTTTTCCCTTTCTCGTTGCCTGCTATACGGCACCTTATAGCCCAGGATCACCACTTGGTTTCAAGGTATGGACATCTCTTCAGCAATTCGAAGCGAATCATGGGCCGGCTAAGGAAAAGAGCTGTCGTTCCGACATGGTCCGGATTTCGGTAGTATGAGTGGGCTGAATCAACCTCAAAGGGGAAACAGGTGTATCGATTCTCCTGCTCTCAAATAGCGTCTATTGTCACAGTTCTGGCATGATTTCCTCGAGTCTTTTTATGCGTAGTGTGGATGAACAACAGCAGGCTGTACGATAAAGACATCAAGGGCAGTATAGAGGGAAAAGGGGACACGAGCATCGCACCTTGAGAAAGAGATCACTCTCCACCCATCATTGTACTGATACTGGTCGTCACGAGTCCTGCACACGAAGACGTGAAGAAAGTTGGTCTTCAAAAGGGTCCAATATCTAGGTGCTGCTAGACCCTTTCTGCTGCTGCTTCTGTTGTTGTTGCTGCTCATAATATAGTTCCTCCGCCGAGAGAATACATTTGATATTGGCACCCAACTTGTTCATCGTCTCCTCCCACTCGTCCGTCTCATCAGAGTCAAAGACGATACCGCCTCCTATAAAGCGTTCATGATTAGCTGTGCGACATCACCCATGGACGAAAGGCCCAGATTCTTATCGGGGGCAAAAGTTGATGCCGGGACAGTACTCACCAGCCTGCAGGTATGCCACGCCGTCCTTTACCGTCATGGTCCGAAGAGCGATACACGTATCCATCGCACCCTCCACCTCCTCGCCCTTCTCATTCAACCCCCCATACCCGAAATACCCCACCGCACCGGCGTAGACACCCCGCTTCTCCCCTTCCAGCTCGGCGATGAGCTCCATGGCCCTGACCTTGGGCGCCCCGCTGACCGTCCCCGCAGGGAAGATGCTGCGGAAGGCGTCGAACCGCGTCTGGCCGGGCCGCAGGACGCCAGACACCTGGCTCACCAGGTGCTGCACGTGGCTGAACTTCTCCACCACCATGAGCCGGTCCACCTTGACGGTGCGCGGGTCGCCCACGCGGTTGACGTCGTTGCGCGCCAAGTCGACCAGCATGACGTGCTCGGCCCGGTCCTTGAGGCTGCTCCGCAGCTCGTCCGCCAGCGCCGCGTCCTCGTCCGGCGTGCGGCCGCGCTTCACCGTGCCCGCGATCGGGTGCGTGATGACGCGCCGTTCCTCCGACTTGACGAGCAGCTCCGGCGACGCGCCCACGATCTGGAAGTCCTTGCAGTTGATGTAGAACAGGTACGGGGACGGGTTGAGCGTCCGCAGGTGCCGGTAGATGTTGAAAGGGTGGAGCGAGGTCGGCCGCGCCAGGCGATGCGACGGCACCGCTTGGATGATGTCGCCCTTGACGATGTGGCGCTTGAGCGTCGTCACGTGCGCTTCGTAGCCCCCTTGGCCGATGTTCGACGAGTACTCGTGGCCCAGCGTGATGGGACCCTGTTCGGGTAGGGGGATGTCGGGGGCATTGAGCACATCGACGAGCTTGTCGACTGTTTCCTTGGCGCGTTGGTAGACCGCCTCGAGGTCGTTCAGGTTATCGGGCACGTGGAGGTAGGTGATGACCTTGATGATGCCCATGTACCTGTCGAAGGCGACGATCGTGTCGAAGAGAAGGAACAAGCTCTCCGGAATTCCCAGGACGTCCTTCATGGGCCGTGCCGTCTTGGGCTCAAAGTAGCGGACTAGGTCGTACGAAGCATAGCCGACGGCACCGCCGGCCATTGGCGGCAGCTGCAGACCTGGCACATGGGCGACGGTGTACTGGGAGAGTTCGGCCTCGAGGGCCGGCAAGGGGTCACACTCCGGGCCGAAACCAGGACCCGTGACGAGGACTTTCCGGGGGCCGGCGCCGACGAAGCTGTACCGGCCTACTTGTTCGGTGGCGGCGCTCTCGAAGAGAAAGGAGTATTCCGAGTCGCCATGATGGGAAGAGACCTTGAGATAGGCCGCAGAGGGAGTAATGAGGTCGGACGAGATTTGTCGATAGACGGGGACGAGATTGGGCTTCTTCTTCTTCTTCTCAGGCGCCACAGCCGCTTCGAGGATGCTCCTGACCGTCTCGAGGGACGGGATGACGCCGCGCTGGAACAAGAGTTTACGGAAATCAGTCGCTGGACACACAGCCGTAGAGGTTTAGACACTCTCTAGCTGGAGCTACTCACTGGGCCTGCCATGATCCAGTAAACCTCACAAGTGGACTTGTGAGCTTTCGAGCTGGATGAAGCGGCGTTGTGGGGGAGGTCTGAGTCAACCCGGTACAAAGACACGGCGATGGGAATTGAAGTTGACGATTTTCTGGAGGGAACCGTTATCCCAATGTGGAAGCTCCGATAACGGCCAGTTTCGAGGGGCGATAAGCGGGTGGGAGTGTCCGTGATAAGGAAACCCCCCACGGTAAGGTACCAAGGTCAATCAAGTCGCTGGTGAAACTCCCCGAGCCCGTCCCATCTCGACGCGCAGCTGTTCCATCGAGTTACGGTTCAGTCGAGCTAGCTATAGATACTAGAAGGGCCACATGGCATTCGAATGCACGACCAAGGAGTGAAGGAAATGTGCAATGTAATTAATAGTGCCCCATTCTTTGGGCTTCCGGTCTTCTCGTAACCCGTATCACTTCCGCAATTATGTGATGTTTTCCCGACAATCTCACTATCCCCCACCTAGTTTTTCCTTCTCGCCCGGGTATCATCTGGATGTCTAGCTTTCCACCGCCATCGCCTTGACGCCAACAAGCTTAGCTTCCGGTCCCTTCCCTTCCGTGGTGACAACCCAATACTCAACTCTGGCCCCGCTGCTCGGCACACGATATACCCGGACATCGTTCCCCTTCCCAGCGGTCCGGACCGCCTCGACGAGATCCTGATACTGCCCATCCGAGTCCCAGTCGATAGGGTCTAAGAGTTCCACGCCGGCATTCTCCGGGTCGGGATGTTGTATCAGCTCCGCAAACTCGACTAAGCAATGACGTCGGTTAGCATAAGTGTCCGAGAAGGCGCCCCAGCAAGACCATTGCCCGTAAACCCGGTACATATAGGACCGAACTCACCCTCATCGGGAAGCCCCTTGCCCCCCTCATCCCAGCTCAGCGCCACGGCAACGAACGGCTCGTCCGCGTCCGACACGTATACCTTATCCCCCTTCTCGAGAGCGGTCGCGATGGGCTTCGGTACGTCCACGCCAGTATCCTGTGCCTTGAATATCTTGCTAGCGCCCGTGTCTGCCTGCTTTGCGTACCCCGCTTGGGGGTCCTCGTTGGCCTTGTTCAAGAAGGCCATATATTCTTCGTCTGAAGCCATGCCGTGTTTCGACGTTGCCTGTAGGAGTAGCTGAGGGGGACTGGCAGACGTGAGGTGTCGTCTAATGCAAAAAGGATCAAGGCGTGCTTGCCTCGAAGCTAAAAGAGTTGGTACTGTATATCGAAGGCTTGCTTTGTCGACTCTGACGGGGCCGTTTGTAAGATGTATGGCTCGCTGGTTGCCTAGTCGAATGCAGTTGGCGGTTGAAATCAATTGCGATGACACTCTGCGGAAAGAGCCCATTCGTCAAAGCTGTTTTAAGTTTGGTAGGACAAAGGAAGACCAGAGGATGATGACAAGGTTGAGAGATCCAAGTTATTACGGAGTAAACTTGCACAAACCGATGGTTACAGTGGTTACACGAATTGGGGGGTACCATGACGCAAACCACCCGGCAGAATCCAGACTTCCCCTAATTCAGGTATCGCGTCCCCCAGTGTCACGTGGTAGATCGGGTACAAATATTCTCACCACATTTTACCTCGTCGCCACCTCGTGGTCTACCTTTGCAAAAGGGGAGACCCCATGTTTTGGGTCAATTGGAAAGAACACGACACTGGGTCTTGTTTTACCACATGACGATACACAAAAGGGTCGGGTCCAGGGACCATTGGCCACTGCACTGGTAACCGAGGCCATTGTAAAGATCACAGCTCTGTCGCAAATCTTTGAACTTCAAATCACATTGAGACAGTCGAAAATTAAGAGCAATCATCGTGGATATCATCTCCGAATTCATTTTTAGGCTCTGGGTTCTCAAGTCATCCGTTATAAAGTTCCCATACCATCCCGATAGTAACGAGAAAGAACCCTCGACACCAATGCCATGACCAAGATACAAGGAAACCAAATGCGCCTTTTTTTTTACGCAGCAACAAGGTCCTTCTTGAGCGTACCCTGGTATTGCTTCTTCTCCGCCGGGGTCTGGAAAGCACCGTGTCCGAACTCGGACGAGGTGTCGATCCATTTGAGGTGGATCTTCTCGTTGGCGCGCCTAGAGGTGTGAGTCCAGAGGGACTTGCGCAGGGTCATGACGCGCTTCTTGACACCGGGGACAGAGCCCTTGACCATCATGAAGTCGTTGTTCATCTCACCATAGCGGACGAAGCCACCAAGACTGTAGTTATCTGGTTAGCAAAAAAATAAAATTACAATGAAAGGCAAAGAAACATACGGAGTAATCTTCTTCTTGGTAACGTCCATCTCGGTCGTGGCGTTGTCCTCGGCGTCGCCCTTTCCGATGCGGTAGATCTTGTGGTTGACCGAGGTACGGTGATGGTAACCCATCTGACCAGCACGGGCAACGGTCCACTGGACGTGGGAAGGATGCCAGGCACCAATACAGGCGACCTTGCGGAGACCCTTGTGAGTCTTGCGAGGAAGCTTCTTGGTACCCCAACGGGCAGTAACGCCGTTGAAGCCGTGACCCTTGGTGACGGCAATGACATCGATCATCTCGTCCTGCTCGAAGATGCTGTCGATGGGCACCTCCTTCTCGAAGAGACCGTAGCCGTAGTCGACCTTCTCGGCCACGGAGCCGCCGTTGACCTGTACCTCCATGAGGTGGGCCTTCTTCTGCTTGAGCGGGGTCTTGCGGATCTGGGTGTGGGCGAGGACGCGGACGACGGTGCAGTACTTCTTCATGCGCTCGAGCTCGCGGGTGATGGAAGCGCCGTTGTTCTCGGAGTGCTTCTTGGCGTACTTGGTGAACGCCTTCTTCTTGCTCTTGTACCAGTTCTTGTAGAACCGGCGGCGCAGCTCGTCGCTAAGATGCTCGGCCCAGACGGTGGTGAGGGACCGCAGACCACGGGGAGTCTCGATGTAGCCAACAAGACCAACAACGACCATCTACAGAGATGTTAGCCATAGGCACAAAGCCAAGCGGGCTGCGTTGCAAGTACAGGTGGCGTATCAATAATTGTGACGGCCTCGACGACCTCCTTCTTGTGCGCCTTGGCGCCCGGTCGGTCCATGTCGCGAACGATGGTCGTCATACCGGCCTTGTAGCCCATGGTGGCCGTCAGGTGGACGGGCTTCTTGGGGTCATCCTTGGGGAAGCTGTACGGCGTCCCAGACGTTAGCAACAGCGTCTTCAATTTCGCGGGGTGGTCGAAGGACAGCGGGACGAAAAAGAAAATCCAGAGTTTCTGCCGAAGAGGAATTACTTACGACTTGACCTTGCCGCGGTGACGGGAAGCACGCTTCCGCGGCAGGAAGGCCAGAGAGCCGTGACGAGGAGCCTCAAACTTCCGGTGAGACATCTTGACTGATTGATCGTGGGTTGTAAGGAGATCAATCCGGAGAGGTATGGGAAAACCAGAAAATAGATGGGCACGAGAAAATCACCAGGCCAGAAAATGTTGTGGGTGGAAATTTGGCCGGAAGGTGGATTATCGCTAACCCACCCTAATCACGTGAGTGGACCCACTTTGGTCCAATCGCTTTACTATCCGTGCGCTTAGTAATACGCAGTGCTTCATACCTCTAAAACCGACTGTACCACGACTTGGGGCCTTTTTTTCCGCGAACACGAAATCAAACAGGATTAAAACCGAAAGGTGATTATTCATCAGTCAAATACGGAACGGGACAGTGAGAGGACCAACGGTAGGGAGTACGAGTACGGTATCATTTCATATCTCAGCTAACAATAATAATAATAATAAAATCCAGTTTATGCGCCAATACCCTCCATCAACTGGAAATAATCCTCGACAACATGATCGGTTGGCGAAATTGTGTAAAGAGAAGTGGTATACAGGTCAACGGAAGCAAGCGAAAGCAGAGTCAAAGATAAAAAGACAAAAGAAACCTCGTACGTCAAGAGCACGTCCCATTTTCCTATGCCGACTCGACTTTGGGAGTTGGTCCCCCAACAATATTGTTGTGACTGGTGCCCGTGGGCGGCTTCGTATCGGCAGATGCCGGTCCAGGCATAGACCCATTAGTCGTAACTGTCTTCTTCTCATCCTCACCGCTGTCATCATAGTCTTCGTCCACATCCATCTTGCGGGCCGCCCGCTCGGGCTCGTTGGCAAGGGGAGCGCGAGTCGCAGCGCCGTGGTCGGCCGGTCGCTCCTCGGACGGAAACTCCTTGGGTGCCGGTCCAGGGCCAGGCCCGGGTCCTGTGACGGCTGCAGGCGCGGGGGCAGCCTCATGAAGCATACCCTGCATGGGAGCGGCAGATTGCTGCATGGGCGGAAGGTGATTCGCCGACGCGCCCGGTCCGGGTGGATGATGGGCAGCTTCAGAAGGGTGGTAGCCGTCGCTGGGTCCCTGAGGCCGCATTTCCTCGGCCCTTCGCATGTCGTCCGCCCGCCTCTGATCCTCCGCCCGACGCTGGTCTTCCATTCGGCGCGACTCCTCGAAGCGGTGCGCCTCAGCCGAATTGCGTCGATAGGGCTCGCGGGGCGGGGTCGACGGTCTACGAGGACGTACGTCATCCAGTCTCGCCCTGTTTTCATCGCTGGCAGGTCGCTTATGGGCGGATTCTGCCTCCCACTCGCGCATCCGTTTGGGTCCAACCGACGCTGGACGCTCATGGTCCCCTCGTGCCAATGCTGTCGGTTCGGCGGGGTGAGCCGCTGGCGGCGGCGGCGGCTGCGGCGGACCTTCAACGGGAGCGGGCACCGGTCTCTCGGGTGGAGGAATAGGATTCCAAACAGATGGCCGCGGGGCCTGGTGCTGAGGATATGCCGATTTGGGAGACGGCATCCGATTATCATGCACCGGCCTTTCCCCAGGCCGCGGACTGTTTGTCGCCCGGAACGGAGGAGGCTGGCTAAGGGGGCCGCCGTTGGGGCCAGCGTTCATCGAGGGCATCTGGGCGGACGATGGCGCGGGCTGGTAATTGGGATTCGGGATACGCGGCTGCGAGGTCGGAGCCTGGTGGGACTGGGGAGGAGGGGGAGGAGGGGGGGGACCAGCCGGATAAGGGCCCGCGGGAGGAGGACTGGGGCCCCGGCGGATTGAACCTGGTCGGTTACCCTCGGCGGGGAAAGGGGGACGCCCGTGCTGGTCCGGGCGAGGGCTCGGCTGCCGTGGCAGTGGAGGAGCTGGTCCGCGGAACTGCTCGCCGCCCCGCTGCTGGTCGAAAGGGTTACCCGGCTGAGGGGGTGGGTTGATATCGGCCAAGCGTCCCCAAGCATGTGCGCCGGGACCGCCGGCGGGGGGAGGCGGCTGCGGCGGGGGCGCCTGTTGGGGGCCGGAACCCGCCCACTGAGGTGCTGGAGGCCCGACCTGGTAAGATGCGGGATGAACGTCCGCAGGCTGAGGCGCGGACGGGGGGTGTCCTCCGTTGGTGCCGCCATTACGCAGCAGCTGCAATCGGGCCTTGATATGCGGATTGTTTGGATCCAGCTCCGCAGCGCGTTGGTATGCATCGAGCGCATCGCTGATCTGGTTGTTGCAAGACTCGTACTGTAGCGACAGTCAGTCTTTGAAATCGCATACGCAGGGTTGCGATGCTTTGCACATGAAAATGAGATACGTACCAAAGTGCCGAGGTCATACCAAACCTCCGAGATGAACGGGTTAAGCCGAATAGCACGGGAATAGGCGTCGAGTGCGTCCCTGTACTGGTTGATCTGGTAGTAGAGGACTCCGATTGAGCACCAGAACGTGGGGTTCCGACCGTCTCGGTACACGGCCTGTTGGTATGCTTCATACGCCTTTGGGTATTTCTGTTGCGACATGTAGCATCGGCCCAGGAGATACCAGCTCTGAGCATCGTTCTGGTCAGCAGCGACTGACTTTTCAAGATACTCGATGGCCCGCTCCTGGCTCTGGAAGCTGTTGCTCTGCTGGTGATGGAGCCAGCCAAGCTGCTGCAAGACCTTGGCATGGCTCGGATCCCGTTCGAGGACTCGTTGGTAGGCCGCCTTCGCACTGTCGTACTATAAGAGAGAGGGGCAGCGTTAGAAACGTAGATAAGGATCGGCTGAAACGGGCCAACTTACGTCTTTTTGCTGCTCGTGTACGTGCCCGATCTGGAACAAGATGTCCTCTTCGCTCAACGGCTGGGGCGGCGAAGACACAATGTATTTAAAGCACTGGAATTCTCAACTAGTCAGTAACCCTTTTTCTTTTTTTTTTTCGCAAAGAAGGAGAAAAACTCAAAGCAGGTTCCACACACCTCAAGACTCTGGGCATATTTCTGCTGCTGTTTGTAAATGATGCCAAGGCGGAAGTAAATTTCGTTCGCCTTCTCAAAGCCGGGATCCATCTGCATGACCTGGGAGAATGCCTCCTCTGCATGGTCGAGAGATCCGTACCGATCGTATAGAATCCCGATGCCATACCAAAGCTTGGGCTCCTTGAGGCAAGGTTAGACCAATGTGAAGAACAACGATGATGTGCGTCTGGGAGATTGACGTACCTTGGGGTTCCTCAAGTTCACTAGAGCATTTTGGTAAGCGGTGTATGCTTGTTGGAGCTCGTCCATCATCAGGTAACAATGTCCTATGCCTCGTTAGATTGATCGTCTCACGGAAGGACGAAGTGGAAAACGAACCAAGGCTGCCCCATGCTTCGCCGTTGTATGCATCGATCTTAAGGATAGCTTGTAAGTATTCCACAGCTTTCTGGAACTGCTCCCGCGTTCGCAGGATCAAACTGATGGCATTCATAGCTTGGATCGACTGCGGATTCGCTCGCAGCGCACTCTCGTAGGCTTCCGTCGCTTGGTCAAGGTCGCCAAGAGCTTCGGCGCAGCTCCCTTTTCGCCACATATCAGCTACTCCGTTCCAACAAGAAAGAAGAAAAAAGTAATTGGGGAAGCGTAAACATACCAACTTGCATCCATAGTGCCTCGGTGACGAATGGAACCTGGCGAGATGGCGCAAAGCCTTGGCCCTGGGAGGGAGCCGGAGGTGCTGGAGGCGCAGGAGCGGCAGGAGGGGGCCCATGTTGCGCTTGCGTGGCCATGTTCGGAGAAGGGTGGTGATTTGCCATGTCTGCAAATTGCAAGTCGCCAGCGCAATGATAGATTGACACACAGACAGATCCAGTCGCCGAAAGATAATGATCTGGTTCGGGTGGGCTTGACCCGGCGTCACAGCAAGGTTGGCTTTGGTACTGTTTCGCAAAGTTGACTCGTGACGCTGGCGACGGAAACTAAAGAGCAACAATCGCCAAGGTCGCAAAGGGGAGGAAGAATCGGAGAAATCAATTCTCTGAGATTCAAAAGTCGGTCCAGGCGCTGCGTTATGTGGCACTTCCTAAGAGGCGACACCGTTGGGTTGCCTCACCATCCACCAAGCAAGAGCTAGGCGAAAAAATACGAATAAGAGGCTGAAGAACGAAAATAGACCAAGAATTGAAAGAAGACCATAAACAGAGACAGCAGGAAGGAATCGCAGACTGTTTTGTCGGTCGGTCGGGCGGGCTGGTTGTGGGAAGAGAAAGATGACGCGAGGTGGTGTTGCGGTCACGCTGTCTTCTCTCTCTTTTGATCACTCAGGTCGGTGGTGCGGTTCGACGAAGGAAAGAAACTTGGGGGGGAAGAAGGAAGCGGCGCGCTGTGTTCTTTGGAGAGGACAAACTTACCTTACCCACGACTCCCTAAGTGCTCCTTCCCGGAGGCGCGTAATTCCACGGCGGGTGTTTTTGCAGGATATGCGGGTCCTGTCTCCACCCGGGACCACTTTCGGCTTGGCTTCTGATCCTTGATGCTTGGTGTGGAGTGTGCTTGGTTGCTCGGTTGCTCGGTGGCTGGTGGCTGGGATGGGATCCAGCCCCATGTCCCAACTTGCGGCGGTCGGACGTTCGGACGTTCCCTTCTCTGCCTCAAATCCTCCTATTGGGAACTTGCCCTAAGCCGTCTCTACCTTACCTTAGCCTGATTGAGGTACGTCGTATCTTGTACTTCTGTCATCCTCTAAGGTATGGTGTAGGTAATTATGCGTTCACCTGCCTTCATTTGTGGGTGAACGTTTCCCCTTATTAAATACCGTGCCCGTCACTACAACGTACCCCATACAATCCTCGGGTTTTCCTTTCTTACCTTTTTTTTTTTGTTTTTACTTAAAACTTTCTTAATCTTTCATCAAGCACTAATTTTCCACTTCGCTCCTCGGTCTGTGCCCTGCCGGTTTCCGAAACCATGCATTCGTGCTTTCAACATGCCTGCCACATCTCATCCTTTGCTTCGTAGTATTTTGTGGAGGAAGGTCCAGATCTCTGGCATCATCGGCCCTGTCCTAAACTTCTTGATGATGTAAGAAATCAGGCAAGCTACCGAAAACATGGCTGTAAGTGAAGCTTATTTTTTTCTTTGCTCGATAGCAGCATCCCAAACAAGCCAGAGCATAGAGTAGCATAGGTATTCAGCTGCATGTCATGCTGCCACACCCAGGGACCAACAGATCAACAACGGAGTCGTACTTCATACTTCGTAAACGCTACTTTGAGCAACAAAGCTTGAAACCGTAGGTTATTCTAGCCTTACACGATTATCGAGCGGCCAGCCGCACAACAACTGTGCCTCTCACCGAAACTGGTCCCGACAAACCACACAAGGCGTACGAATAAGTATGAAGTATGTGTTTCCATTGGGTAGCCCAAAAAATGAAGTTTTCTTCCGGTTGGGGGATATGTTGACCTTATGTACACCTATTGTGTAGTTCTGCAGAACAACTGTCGTCCACGTGAGTGATTACATCCACCCGTGAAGGAAAGGGGTCCATGGGTAGCGACCACGACAGTGTCTTGACTTTGGTCTGGCCCGTGGGGGTAAGAGGACAGTTATCCGTACCCCGTACGTAAGAAAGGTACCTGGGCCTCGAGGCTAGGAAATACCTACCATGTAATTACCGAAAAGAAGAAGAAAAAAACGGGGTGACGTCCGACGGGCTGGGGAAAACTTTTCAGGGGCGGTGGAAGCCGCCCCGCTTTTCATCATGACCTAGCCGGCCATTTCCCGTTTCATGAAATGAAATAACCTCCATGGATTAGAGGGCAAAAAAGATAGAAACCGCCCCCCCCCCCCGAGTGGAAGAAGAAGCAAAAGAGAGGAAAGAAAAAAAAGAAGCGAACAACGGAAGCCTATAACGCATAATTACCCGATGTGCCTATCTACAGAGGGTTGTTGGATGATGAGAACGATATGTTGATGGGAACCTTGGCTCCTTTAGTACTGCGGCAGGTAATAAGTAATAAAGCAGGTCTCTCAGACCGTTAATTTCTAAAATTTTCTTGCATCGTGTTTTGCAACGAGAAACAGGCCCTGTTTTGAAGCTACCCAAATTACTACGAGGTATGTTGTACGATATATGGAATCAGACTTTGTATGAAGTACGGGGGTACTTGTGTCAACTTCCTACTTCGGTATTCGTACTCCGTACTTTGATACTTCACTACAGGTACCTAACGTTGTATTGCGTCGGTACGCAGGTACTTCGGGAGGGGATCTTGGCTGATTGGTGACTCCCCACTGACTCGTTGCTCTCGTGCCCTTTGTCAGACACGAGAGGATGGTGTGGGCCGGGGCTTCCACCACGGGTTACATGGGGCGCATGCAGGTGCGAGATGGGAACCTGTGAGCGTGCTTATTCGCTAGCTTCGTCATGGGCGTGCATTTGTGTTAGCCTTGGCGGGCCGGCTAGAAAGGCACTGGCATCCGTTGTCGGTAGTACGTAAATAACCACAGAAGGAAGGCACCTAACGTCAGGTACATTTGGTACGTACCACCGGGCTGACGGGTGGGTGGTGAGGTGAGGAGGTGGGGTGTAATTAGAAAAGAAGTGAGCCTCGCAGAGCAGGGGGTAAAGAACCTGGAAGTGAAGGAATCGGTCTCTTGGGGGTGCGGGCCAATCCACGACTGCACCGTGTGCATGCAACTGGTCTCCCTGGGTGGGCCCAAAGCGGACGGAGGTGTGGGATGAGAAGATGGTGTGATAGCAGGGGTGGCTGGAACGAGGTGCGTGAGATCTGACCTTAGTAGGTGTACGTTGTATGTACATACAGCGTACATATCGCGCTGGACCGATTTCGTTGGAAGCGTGTGGTTCAGGGCATTTGCACCCTTAGCCGGAAATCATGGGGCTTATGTACGTCGTTAACGTGTCCATACCTAACCTAACCTACGAAGAGTTATATGGCGTATGGCTGCCGACAGCCAAAAGCCAATCTGCACATTCTTGGCGGGAACGCTTAATACCGTTCCCCCAAGGAATGGTCAGGACTGGTCCCATCCATTTCGCCAGTCAAAACCACATGAGAACCGAGGCACAAACTCCCCGCAAAGCATCGTCATTGACCCTCCCATCCACCACGGTCACAGTATCGACGTTGGGAACACTCGATTAATGCGCTGGCAAATTCCCCGCGTCGGCCCGCAGGTCAGTAATACAATAAAAGATATAAAACGAGGGTATCGAGACAGGTATGATGTGGGGTCCTTGGTAATTCGGCAGATGTTGGGGTTCTGGTAATAGGTAGGCGTACCACCCAGGCGAATATTTACGGAGGTGCTTCTAATGTAGTCGGTCAGACTTGTAATATCTCCTCCCTCCACGTAGAACAAGAAAAGTACAAACGCTTTACTTATTCGGGGACACCAGACTATATTTGTACGCCGTGGTTTCCCTTATCGTCGGACTCGTATCATCGATTGCAAAAGCGGAGATTTTCCTCTGTCGTTCCAAACACTACACAACGACGTTGCGCTCAACCCCCGACCCAACTCTCTTTTCCTTTCGATTTGAATCCTGATATTATTTGGCCGATCCTCGAGCACTTGCTTCAAACAGATGAGATTCCACACTTCACTTCCCTCTCGTCATGTTACCCAACCCTATTTCAAGCTTTGCCCCCCCGATCTGTTCTTCTCTCCGTCTGCATTGGTCCCCGAAACAACGCCTCGGGACACCGATGTCGACCATCATCGGCGCTGGCCATGTCCGTGCCCGGCGGGGTGAGAGCTCATCTGCAACCAGCCGTGGGCGCCCCCCCCCCCCTTCCCTACCCCCTTCCACCCCCGGTCCGCTCAATTGATTTCAAAATCTCACTAGCTGCCTCTTCGTCTCCATGCGTATCTCGTACAGCTTATGCTGTGTCCAAGTACGTACGCGCCGGCTGACGGCACGAGGCTGGCCGAGAGGTAACCTTAGATCCTTACCAGGGACCCTCCAATATGAGGAGTTTCGTATCAGCAGCAATAGACGCCCCTGGGTCACTTCCTGATCGAGTGAGAGTGGCTTCCTCCGATCCATCCGTTGTACGAAGTGTGTACTCTGTACGATCTTAGCTGGTTTTTAGCTCATGTCCCAGACCATCGCCGAGTCGACTTCTTTGCGCCCGTACCTTTGTCCTACACGTGTACATAAGGTACATACGCGAATCGTCATTCCAAGCTACCGTACCTTAAGGTACCATACGGACACTCCTGTTCCAGCCCCCAGTTTCGGGCGGGCGGGCTGACAGGAACGTCAGGCTTCCATCGTCCCAGGGCTTAGTGGGGTACGTCATTGGGTCCTTCTCGGTGAGGCGGCAGACATTTGGAGAACGCGGAAAATATCCGAATCAAGCGGGCAACTCCCCGTCGTCTAGTAATAACGTTCTATCCACAGATGCATAGTGCGGTCCAGGCGAAAATTGTACTTCGTATATGAAACTATTCTCCCAGGTAGCACGTTTTCTGTTCTTGTTACATGCAAACCATGCTTTATTCTTCCTCTTACTTTCATCCCGTGTTGTTTCAATTGTTGGTTCCCAATTTCGCTCCTAGACGTTATAGCGCTTCTCTCAGAACGCAGAACGTCCTTGCACTACCCAGACCAGACCATAACAATCTTCATATCCTCAAAAGACATAGTTTACATATACGACTAAAACTGCCGCGACACCAAGGTCTATAGCGAAGTTGAGGGTATATATCGCAGTATTACATGATGTTATTAAGTACAAAGCGCTGCGTATCGGCAACTCTCCCAGTTACAGGAAGATATTCCCGTCCTTTAGACGCCGGTGCCGATGTTAGGTCTAACTCAAGAGTCATTTAAAGATACAAACTGGCCATTTCCTTCGCTGTGAAATCGTGCTGATCCGTCGTCCCCTCGCCCCTTGTTCCATGGCTGTTTCGTGTGCCTTGCTATGACGCATTCTTATCATCACCAGTCTCCTGGTCCGGCGTGTAGTTTGTTTCGCCCAGCATGGCCGTCGGTTGCGAGGTCATCGCCGTCTGGGTGTTCGGCTGCGGCTGGGTCTGCACCGTCGGTCCGGTGGGTTGACTGGGGGGAGGGGAGGGATGGGCCGGTGCCGAGGCCGGGTTTGCCGTCGCGGCATGGAGCCTCTGGTCGAGGGCCCTCAGAGCGAGCGCTCTCCTACGTTCGGCTTCAGCTCGTGCGCTCCCCGGGACAGTCCGCTGGATGAAGTTGTTCCCACGCGTCGCCGCAGAGACGCTATCCTGCGAGAACGGCGCGCAGACCCGCATCGCGACAAGGACGTCAAAGACCTGGTTAGACGCAGCCGCTACAAGGGGTTTCACCGGACCGGGGAAGAATTCGGCGAATGCGAAGGTCTCGCTCGCGTCTCCGCGGAGCGACGATGACTGGGACGTGTCGAGGTCCGGGAAGACTGTCTTGAAGAACCGGAGGTAGGTCCAGCTGGAAATGAATCCGAAAATAGCGAGGAAGAAAGAAGCAGTCGAGACCATCGGGGTCAGCGACAGGAGGGTGACGAGGCCGACGTAGAGTAGAGGAAACCTCGGGACGCGTAATGAGACCATCCCGCGGAAGAGCGTAACGGTATGGGCCGGGACAAGTTGGCTGAACGCGACGAGGAAGGATATTTGCAGCGGAATCGTGCCGGCGATGACGGTGAGCCTGGGGAGCGGGGGAGGGAAAGTTAGTCGGGTGGTTTGAAGGGGACGGGGAGAATGACATTAGTACTCACGTCCAGCGCTCGTTCCGCGTGAAAGTAAAGAATGTTACCAGAGCCGCAAAGGTCAAGAGGTTTGGAATCAACGATACGACCGCGAGGAACTTGGCGAATTCGGCCGAGGACCATGCCCGCTCCAGATAACGACCGCCATAGAAGAGGGTGGCGCCGGCGATAGCGAACGAGAAGACGTTACTCTCCACAAGGGTCGTTGATATCAAGGTCCATGGATAGACGAGGGATAGCTGGGGGATTAGCGTCAGATATGGTATGACGATTTCTGATGTTGCGCTCCACTGGCGGAAGCGGATGACGGCGCTGAGGAAGGACTGGACCGTCAGAACGCCCAAGACTGCACGGGTGAGTGGTGGTACGTTTATTCGGGCGGGCATCGTAGTGACGGCAGGTGGATGGAAGGCAGAACGGGCTTATTATTAAAGCTATTAGTCGCTGTAGCCCCTAGAAAAACGGTACGAGTCGGAATATCACAAGCTGGCCGTATGTCCGTATGTCTGTCTGGATTGTTTCTTGTTGATCTTTACGGGAGTGGGAGTACGTACAAGGCTGACCTTGTCGGATTAAGTTCGGGAGAAGGCGACGTGGTACCCCTTCATTAGCTTGTCCTGTCTCGGTGATTTGATAATGCGCATCCGAGAGATACAAAGGTCCATGCACCTCTCGGTCGGCAGTGAGCAATCTGGTCCAATGTTCTCCACGGTCACATTATGGTCGTAGGTAATTGCGTACCTGCGATGTGCCATCTCCACCTCGATGAAAAAGGGCAGAGCAAAGATACGGATTCCCCTAACGTCACTTTTAACATGTAGATCATTAACTGGCAAGTTTTGTTAGTCGTACGCACCTCTGTATCCGTCACTTTGTCACTTTGTGACTTTGATGGCTAATTACTCCGTGACTGTACACTTAATTCATTGTTTCTCTCCTCTCCGGGGTGATGTGTGGCACTTTGTGGCGTGCCCCGAAACTCGAAACGGGTAGATCCCCGCTTAAGGTCCACTGTCTGCAGGGCGCCCAGTTGCATTTCCGGTCGCACATGTACAGCGTATCCGTACACCCAACCCACTTGGTTGTACAAAGTACTTCGTGCGAATGAAGAGACATTCACACACTAGCCCAAAAACTTCGTTCCGGTTAAGAGGAAGAGGTGCTCGTCACCGCCAGTCGCCGGGACGGAGAGAGAAGTGATGATGGTGTGGTGGTGATGCACAGGACACAATTGGTCAGTCCACGGTGACACCAAGCAATTAATGATATTTTACCTATTTGTTTTCCACCCCCTGGGCCCCCTTCCTGTCTATTTGGTTCCCGGGCAGCGCCGTCCGTGATGTTGACCAAATCAGACGAAGGCCGCCCTTGTGTAAGGTAGGGGACTGCCCCAAGGACATCAATAGTTGCGTTCCCCATGGCCGGATGATCGTCCAGACCACAACAGCAACAGCATGGCATCTCGATGTACGGATACTTATTTTACTTCCATGGCATTTTGAGCGAAGCATGAAGTACAGGCTACGAAGTATTAGTCAGAATCTATTCGTGGCTTACGACGGCGGAACGCCCCCATGGAACCGTTTCAAATACTGGCTGCAATTAAGGCAGCGAAGCTTCTTAGCCGAGCGAGCAATGCACCCAGGAAACGGGACATTAATTAATATCCGCCAGCACCCATCCCGTCCCCTTTCGATCCGATCTCTTTTTGTTGTTAAATACTCAAGAAGCCGTGGACGGAGAGGGGGCTGAACCTTGGGCAACCGGTTTGTTTTCAAGACTTCAGGGGACCCTGGGGGAGTTCTTGACCGGCTTGCGACGATCGAATGCCATTTGGAAAGTGGTGAGCATGGCTCATCCTTGCCCCCCTTGAGGCCACCAGTTCCCGCCTTGGCCGGGGATTGAAACCCTTTCCCCCCATCCTCTAAACTGCTGGGCAATGCTATGCCACGTATGTCGTATGTACTCATGTACTTCAAAAGTCTGACAAAGTCCTGGTTTTTGAAGCAATGGCGAACATTCAGCTGAACGTCGCATATTCAATGACTTGATACCTTCTAAGTAGTTAAATACTAAGTAACAATAATGAATAGCATTGTATGCGCGCACATAACCATGTTTCCATGTCCATACTCGAAGGATGTACGAAATACTTTGTGGGAATTAATCCCAAATTCGGGCCACTTGAGATTCAGAATTGGGCAAAGTGCCTGCAAAATACACGAGGTACCTACGTTGTAAGGCAGGTAGGTAATTACAACATACCTTACTTCGTACATGACAAGTTGACATGCAGCCCCACGAGAACCAACCAAGGGTTGGTCCTGTTTCGGCATTGGTCGCCGCAAATGCCAGGTTGGGAGGTACGTACCGTCTCGGCCCATCACGCTGCTAAGATTGATTGGGGTGGGGACGTTTGCCAATGCACGAAGCAATTCGTTACGACTTCAAAGTAGGTATGGACGGAAAGAATCGGGCAGCAGACTTAAATTTTTGCATTGTGAAAGGTCTTGACTGTTGTGATGACCGTAGATGAATGCCCAAAGACTCGCCGCTGCTGCTCTCTTATGGACTGCTTCGGGCATGCCATTCATACGGAATATACGGAATATGTATGTACAACGTACACTTGAGCTTCTGTCTGGGGGGGCAGCTAACGATCTGACGGTTCTCCGCGAGATCGGTGGACCTGTAAAGGTCATGTCATGCACTGATTGGCCCCCCTGGAGACATGGCCTGCCCCCGGCCCTCGTTCCAGGGTACGAAAGTACGTTGTATTCGTACCTGTGATGAAGATGGGAACTACGGATACTCCGTAAGGTATGTACTTCGTGCTCTGTACACCACCCACATGATCGAAAAGTTTCGCATAAGGTAGTTCGAGAATGGATCCGCAGTTAGGTCGTCGCATTCCCATACCGCTCGAGATTGTTTTACATATGCACATGCCAGCTGCTATTAGGATCGCCAACGGGGTTCTCATGTCTTAAAGTGCTGGGGAGGGTGCTTTCTTAGTCTTATCGATGATGTGGTGTCTCTCGGCCTTACGAATGGTTTCCTGTTCGTGAGCCTGCAAAGTGAGCTGAATCCAGAACCAGCCGAACAACGAACTTGGACAAAAAGCTGATTAAAGTGATGGCGCCAAGATCAACTTTGCCTCTTCAGGGGTCATTGGATGATGAAACAAAACCGTCCTGGAAAGCAGGGTTTCTGCTTATTCATCTAGTCTTAGACCCGAAACTCCCGCGACAGGTGGAATCTCCTTCAACAGGTGCCATAATCGCTCCCGGATGTGATTGCGATTTCCATCTCGGTCTGTGCTTAGGTAATCAGCACGTTGTACGGGGGTAGGCAAAAGTCAGTCGAGAACCTGGCCTGGAGACCCAACCGGCCTACAATAGCGTAGCGTGGGTACAGTACCTGCTGTACCTTTTAGCGCATGGTTAGCGTCACAGTGTATTTTGTAGGTACCTTTCGTCCCGTAGCGCGGTGGTGCCGCTAGATTCTTTTCCCATCCACTCTACCGAAATCGAGCTCATCTTCAATTTCTCTCCCCGAGCCTTTTCATTCCTCAACATCGATGGAGGCGGAGAAGAAGAAGAGAAGACGACACGCAGATTCTCACCCACTCGCCCCTATTGCTTGCGCGTTATACTCAGCTTCCGATCCATAGTCGCCTTTCATTATCGGATTAAGGGAAGAAAAAGGGCGAACCGACCATCAGCGCAAGCCCGTTAAAGTCCCAAAACTCTCACTCGCGAGGAAAAACGCTTCATGCGGTCTGGCCTACTGCCTCGCATTCCATCGACGGGGGGGTTTTTTTTTTCACTTTCGCATCAACGCGTCGTCGCATCGCCACATCGTTTAAACTCCGAGCCCACCTAACGATTGAGAAGCCGCCGCAGCGGAGTGCTGCCTCTTATTTATCGCCAACCATGATCAAGGAGTTTCTCGATTCGGACAGATTGAACTACCTTGTGTGGAGGTTCGCCGATTTTCCTCCCCGCCCACCCGCAATCGGACCGCACCAGTATCTGAGAACGTTTTTTGCTGACATGATGTTCCCTTCTTTCTTTTCTTGTGTTTACTAGGTACCTCCTGGAAAGCAGTATGTGATGACACCAACGTCGAGAGCATTCTCTCCCCCTCCTCTAGTTGCTGACTTTGCTGCAGATTACCGGGAGACGGCAGCCAAGTTTCAGAAGGAATGGCGCGTCCAGGAACCTCACCGGCATTTTGATTTTGCGCGCCACATCAAGAGCCATGCTCTGGTCTCGGTCATCAACAAGGGCCTCTGCTACCATGCACTTGAACGAGAATATGCACAGAAAGCTGTGAGTTGCATATCCCTTCCCCTTCTATCTGCGTCACCGTGTCGCCTTGCACAGCCGTTGGGCGTTTGGCGTTTGGGCGACACGTTTTTTTCCGTTGGCTATGCACGAATGAAATTTCGGGTGAGAGGCTTTACTCTACGCCTCGACGACACTCGTCTCGTTAATTGTGCTAGCGGAGAGTCGCTGACATATTTTTGTGTCTTTTTTCTTTTCTTCGCTCCCTGTGCAGTTACCTCCAGATGCACCAGCTTCGGCAGTCGAAGCAGTTCAAGTAGGTATTTTTGGCCCTATTGTCGCACAGCCGCCGCCGCCGCCGCATAAGGTGGAAGACGACGATGAGGGCAGCATCGGCGAGGTGGAAAACCCGCGGAAGCGCCAGTTGGACAGCCGTTCGCACCGTGACCAGCATGAGGTGAATGGATCGCAGGCCAAGCGCCCGAGACTCAGCAATGGGTACGAAAATGGGGTGGATGCAGCCACGACACCAATGGAAATCGACAACCACCACAATCATCACCACAATCAACACCACAATCAACACCACAATCAACACCACAATCAACACCACAATCAACACCATAATCAACACCACGCACCGGACGAGAACAACCCAGCTTATCCGTCCCCACAGGATGGCGAACAGGCCCCAAGCCCCATCCCTCACACCGATGGCCCCGAGCAGGGCACGCAGGTCGACAAGGTGGTCGAGCTGGCCACAGAGACGACATTTTTGCGATTGATGCCAGACGACTCTCCCTCGTCTCCCGCCGCCGCCGCCACCACCGCCACCACTACAGCACTGTCTGCGCCGCACCCTGAAAATGCACCCATCTTGCTGCGCTGCGAGTGGAACCCCAGGGATCCATCGAGCTTGGCGGCTTCTGGGACGGACGCGCTAGCCCGCATTTGGACAGTCCCACGGGCCGCCACCACCTCCCCGAAAGACACGGATGATGAAATCTCCGATCACGTGAACGGTGTCGACCGACCGTTTCATAGCCTCGTCGACAGTGCAACGCCGCGCACGGCGACTGTCGGTCAGATGGCCTGGAACTCGGCCGGTACGGTCATCGCCGTGGCCGCGGACCACGACGGTCAGGCGTCCATCAGCACCTGGACCAAGGACGGCGATGCGCTCAGTCGCTTTGACATCTCCGAACCTCCCGTCATCAAACTTCGCTGGAACCCGTCGGACACGGCGCTGCTGGCTATTACCCCCCTTAACGGCAGTGCCCTCGTGACTGTGTATGAGATGCCCTCGTACCACTCGCGGACCTATTCGCTGGCCGGGCACGACTTGCTCCAGTGGCCGCTCGACGCGGCCTGGACGAGCGACACGGACATTTTGTTGTGCGGCGGAGACGTCCTGGTGTTGCTCCGATGCACCGAATCCGGCATTGTTGTGGAGAAGAAGTTCGAGACGCGACAGGAAGACAGCTTTTTGCAGGTGCAATTTGACACACGATCAAAGTTGGCGGCCACAGCTAGTGCTAAGGGCGTTATTGACGTAGGTCGTTCCATTTCTCAGCCCCCCTTTTTTCTCTTTTTCTCTTTTTTTCTCTTTTTCTCTTTTTCTCTTTTTCTCTTTTTCTTTTTTTCTTTTTTTCTTAGTGACTACTGCGATGCATCCACACCTATACAGGGGGGTTTCGAGAGCTGATTTTTTCTTCTTCTGTAGCTATGGGACGAAACGGGAGAGCGGCAATCCATTTCGGCGCATTCGGGGACCATCACGGCGCTGCAGTGGCAGCCGTTGCCAACGGAAGCTCAAACGGACGACGATGAACGGCTCCTCGCAAGCGGCGGGGACGACTGCGCGATTCTCATTTGGAACGCGCGGAAGGCGGACAAGAAAGCGAGGTGCTTCCTGACGATGGACTCTCCCATCGTTGGGCTGGCGTTCACTCCGGACGGCGCGTTCATAGCTGGCGCGACAGCGGGTCGCATCCTCATCTGGAAGGTCGGCGAGCACAGCGTTCCCCGGGCTAGCTGGAGCCGGACACCACACCCGGGATGGCTGAGCCCGAAGACCAGCTCGGAAGCCGAGGAAGAGGATGAGCATTGTCTGGGATGGGACTGCGACGGCCAGAGGTTGGCGTATGGAGCTAATAGCAGGGTAAGCAACGCGTTCTCGAGCTGTACACTTTTCTTTTTCTTGTTTGTCCCGTCTGTGGAGGCGAGTGATTCTGACGTGTTTACAGCTTGCCGTCGTAAACTTTAGACGATGATACCAGGCGGCGGGGGGGGG